GAATTGATACGTTTGGGTGCTGATACTGCTTTTATCCTAGCCTTGGATGTTGATACTGCTTTTATCCCAGCCTTGGGTGCTGACACATTTGACATTTGGGTGCTGATACATTTTCCATCCTTGCTTTTATCCAAATTCTGTTGTGCTGATATACCACATCAAGTATTTGAAATGCTAGAGCAAGAGTGATATACAACATGCTAGAGCAAGAGTTCAGCCTTGTTCAGTTGAAATGGATATTGCAACATGCTTGCATACTTTGTTCTGTGGTACAAGTGTTGTGTGTTTGAACTTTGAAGTTTGACAAATGTTCTGCCCAGAACTTGAAAGTACAGTGTTGCAGTGCTGCAGCTGCATACTGATCGAGTGCTATCAGCTATGTAATGGATTCTATGATAGAATTAGGATTTGCATCTTTCCTTTTCTTGTTGAATTATAATTATTAACTATATGTATGTCAATTAGGACTGATGTTCACAAGAATTATTACTATGTTGAATTGAACTGTTTTTATGTTAATTTTGTTGAAAGTGCAGTAGGGCTGTGCATTCACACTGATTATTGATCGAGTTAGTATAGTTTGGTACTTTGGTTCTAAAGGTTGAGTTGAACTTTGAAGTTTGACAAGTGTTCTGCCCAGAATTTGAAACTTGAAAGTGCAGTGTTGCTGCTGCATACTGATCGACAGCTATGTAATGGATTCTATAATAGAATTAGGATTTGCAGCTTTCCTTTTCTTGTTGAATTATAATTATTAACTATGTGTGTATGTCAAATTGTCAACTAGGACTGACATTCACAAGAATTATTACGATGTTGAATTGAACTGTTTTTATGTTAATTTTGTTCTGTTATGAACTGTTGAATCCGATCCGAAAATTCGATCACCAAACCGATCCGAAATTATGCAATCCGATCCAGTCCGATATAATTCGGATCGGATTCGGATTGCATTTTGTGGAATCCGAAATCCGAAATTTCAATCCGAAATGTGCTAAATCCGATCCGATCCGATCCATGCACATCCCTAGTCCTGGGTTGCCTGGATTGGGCTGAGGGGGGGTAACTTGGTTTTGGGCCTGGATTTTAATCCAGGTCCGAGTTTTATTTTACAACTTATATTTTTATTTTCTAATTTTATTATTAATCATTAAAAAAATCCTAATAAAAATTATAAAACAATTTTTAACCTTACACAAAAATATTAATTACTTTATAACAACTATGTAACACATAGTCAAAATATTAATCACACAGTGACATATTTAAAAATAGAACGAATACATATTTTTTGTGATTTTATTTAAATTATCTTTTAAATGCATAATTAAATCCTATATGCATGCAACATGTATTTTATTTTAATTTTCATTTTATTATGACAAAGTAAACATTTACGGACATAACACAAATATTTAACACCAAGCAAATTCAAAAATTGCACACTAAAAGAAATTTATTTATTCATTTTGGAGTAGTTTTCGTAAGGCAAAAATCACGTGCTCACACATGGTAAAAGTTTTTCAGGTCTTAGGGAACTTGGTAATCTTTCCATAAAACTAGTGGAGACAAAGAAGCATATGACTTATCTTCTTTGTTTTTCAACTTAAAAAATTTTCTTTGCTTTTGCCAATTACTACCGCTACAGTTGAGAGAGATTTTTCGGCAATGAAGTTGATTAAGACCGATTTGCAGAGTCTAATGGATGATGAGTTTTTCAGTAGCTGTTTGGTGCCTAACATAAAAAATGATGTATTTAGTTTTATTCCTAATGAGGTTATGAATACCTTCCAAAATATGAAAACTCATCTAGGAGAGTTATAGTAAGGTACTTTTAAAAAATAAATGATGTCGTTACTATATTTGTTTCTTTGTCTACTTCTTTAAATGTCGACAACACTTATGAATAATCTTGCGTACGCCCATGTCTTTATCAATAACATTATTCATATTTTTACTAAATGTGAATGCAATTGAATATTACAGGTAAAAAAGGAAAAATATAATTAATTTTATCTTGAACTTCTAAAATAATAAATAATTTGAGATAATTATTTTTAGTAATCGCAACACTTATTATGAGACGAGAGTTACCCGTGCACGAAATACTCTTAACACGATGCATCCTGTGAAGCGTTTATACTTTATATGCTTGCCTTCACATCTTTGGATGCAAACTAAAGTAGTACTAGTGGAACTCCTATTTAATTTTATGAAATTAGCTTTATGTCGGTGCGTTAAGATTCATATATTAAACTATTTGATTTACTTATGATATAACTTTTTTTTAAAAAAAAAAAAACACAAGTTGTTGAAAATGATTAATATTGATCGTATTTAGCCAACTTTAAAAAATAAAAAACTATGTCATACAAAAGTATTTTAATGCATTATCATAACTTTGATATAAGTTGTCTATTTGCTTTAGTAACTCGAACAATGTCAAATAATATGTTGACTTATAATTAAATATCATGCAATAATACTATATACTTTATAGCCTTAAAAAATAAATTCTATTTGTTCAAGTACCTAATATAAATTTCATCTTATTCATATTAGAACTCATACAAAAAAAAACGAAAAATAAGCACGAATATTAATCACTTGCTCATACTCATAATTAATACATATTAGAAATCACTTACATTAAAGGAAATAGTTTAGTAAAGTAAACAGATTTTTAGTGATTTTAAAGTCATAAATATTACGAGAATAAAAAAATGACTCAATTATTCCTATCCTTTATCACATATGAATATTCAGCTTGATTTAGCTTTTGATTAGTATGTAAGCAATCCTCTCTCTCTTCCGTTCTTGGGTTTCTCCTCCTTTTCCTTCTCCTTCTTTTTCTGCTTTTTCTTCTTCTCGCTTTTTTCGAGCCGAGAGTCTATTGGAAACAGCCTCTCTATCTGCATTAAGTAGGGTAAGGTCTGTGTGCAGACTACCCTCCCTAGACCTCATCTGTTGGGAATATACTGGCATGTTATTATTGTTGTTGTTGTTGGTTATTGTTGTTGTTGTTGTTGATTTGTATGTACTCCCTTCGGTCCAAAATAAGTGATTTTTTGGATGTTTTCACACAGATTAAGAAATCTACCTTTTAGCATTAATTAGCAATAGAATTGACCATATTAACCTTTACTATCTCACATAAATACTCCTAACACATATTCCAATGCTATTTACTCTAAGGACAATATAGGAAAAAAATAATTAATTCATTCTTGAAATCTCGAAAAATCACTTATTTTGGACCACAAGAAAAATGCCAAAAAATCACTTATTTTGGACCGGAGGGAGTAAACAACACTCGTGGTACTCATGACTCCCATAAGTCATTTATTGCCACGATCCAAAACCCATCCTTAGGAGTCGTGATGGCACCTAGTCTCTAAGACTAGGTAAGCCTAACACTTCGGAATTAATAACAGATTTTAACCAATCAACTATTAAACATGAAACAGAAATATCTATATAAAGCCAACAATCCAAAGTAGATATATGACATCCCAAAACTGGTAGTACAATTCAGAAGCTCTAACGAGTTCACTAGAAAATCTCTAAGTACATTTGTTCCGGAATAGAAATAAATAGTACAAAGTAAACTTCAGAAGGTGACTCTGAGGCCTACGAATACTGTTGGATTTTGTTATTAATAACAAAAGAGATATGAAAGGATAATGGTGGGGGGAAAAATGGAGGAAAGTGAAATTTTGAATGAGTTCACTTTACTAATGCGCTTTGTCCCTCATTGGTAGAAGGAAAGAAAATCTTTGTGTATATATAAAGAAGCTCATCTTTTAGCTCTTAAAGAGTTAAAAAGAAGGCAATCCTCGCGTCGTCGTCGTCGTCGCTCGCTCAGCTCGGCTTCGGCTTCGAATTTGGATTCGGTCAAAGATCGATTGATTGGTTAATCTTTTTGGACAAAATTCTTTTTAAATATTTAATTAATTAAATTAATTAACAAAAATTCAATCCGGAATAACCTATGACCCGCGACCCGGTCCAGTCTGGTCCATTTTTTTCTCGAATTATTTTAAATCCGTTTGTTTTTTCCGCAATATTTCTCCACTTGTTTCAACAACTGTGGCTGTTCTGAAAGGTTTCAAACCTTTTCAGAAATAGTGTCAAACCTGTTCCAACAGCTATGGCTATTCTAGAAGGTTTCAAACCTTTTCAGAAATAGTGTCAAACCTGTTCCAACAGCTATGGCTATTCTAGAAGGTTTCAAACCTTTTCAGAAATAGTGTCAAACCTGTTCCAACAGCTATGGTTGTTCTGGAAGGTTGCAAACCTTTTCAGAAACAGTGCCAAATGGGCTAATATTCCTTCAATCCCAGAATTTTTACTTACGAAATTTTCTGATCTTTTTCTTCTTCTTCTGCACATAAAAATTCCAGTGTGTTTTACAGTCTTCGAGTGGTTCGCTGTTCATCAGCGTTTTTGGTACCAATACTTCGATGAGTTAAATCGTTCTATCCTGGGAGGATATATTCCAGAACCTCGGGTACTTGAGGGGAATAATTTTCTTAAGGACACACTGCGTATTCAATGGGCTCGATTTATTCCTATACAATTTTCAGAATTTATTTTGAAGTTCCTATACTGTTTTCAGAATTTATTTTGATGTTCTAGTTCTATTAACTTTCTGTTTCTATTTTTTCAGAAAGTTTATTGTTTTATTAATTTTACAGCAATACAGTTTTGATAACAATCATAAGGAAATTATTATATTATATTTTGTATTCTATTTGTGGAGATTAAAACCTGTGTGGTTTTCTACTCCGTTTGAATTTTACTATTCTGATTTGAAGATATAAAAACTTCATCAGAGTATTGAAATTCAGAAAACGATTTGAAGAACATAAAACCTTCATCGTTTTCTGTGAAACAGTATATAAAAATTTTAATTTTTTACCTATTGTTTACTGATTATACTATTGTCTACTATTCTGGCTTTGCCATTAATTGAACTCTTCTGTTGTTGACAGTAAGAAATGGCAATTGATAACGGAAATCCTTCTGCGACTGTTGCTGCAACGACGATAGCCTCATCAAGCCGCACTGTTGTTCCTCCGACTGAGAAACCGGAGAAATTTTCTGGAGCCAACTTTAAAGGATGGCATCAAAGGGTGTTCTTCTGTCTTACCACACTTGGTATGCAGAAATTCACTATTAAAAAGCCTTTAGTGCTTGTTGCGGACATGCCGGATAATGAGAAGTTCATGATTGTTGAGGCATGGAAGCAGGAAGATTTTCTTTGTAAAGGCTATATGTTAAGCTCTTTAGAGGATGACTTGTACAATGTGTACAGTGCGATGAATACTTCAAAAGAATTATGGGACGCACTTGAGAAGAAGTACAAGACGGAAGATGCATGCTTGAAGAAGTTCGTGGTTGCCAAGTTTCTAGACTATAAAATGATAGACAACAAAACTATGGGAACCCAAGTTCAGGTGCTTCAACTTATTTTTCACGACCTTATTGCTGAAGGTATGGTCATGAATGAAGCATTTCAAGTGGCTCCAATGATTGAAAAATTGCATCCTTCGTGGAAAGATTTCAAGAACTATCTTAAGCACAAGCGCAAAGAAATGAAGTTGGAAGATCTTGTGATACGTCTAAAGATTGAGGAAGACAACAAAACAGTCGAGAAAAAGTCTCGTGGAAATTCAACGATCATGGGATCTAATCTCGTTGAGGAGACTGCTCCAAAAGTAAGAAGAAGAGGTCTTCTGGACAGACTAAGGAGTAGAACAAAAATAAATTCAAGGGAAACTGCTACAATCGTGAAAACGTTGGTCACAAAAGCCCTGATTGTCGTCTCCCGAAAAAGGATAAAAAGAAGGGACAAGCCAACATAGTGGAGAAGAATGATGACATTGATGATCTTTGTGCAATGCTTTCGGAATACAACCTAGTTGGAAATTCGAATGAGTGGTGGATCGACTCTGGAGCCACTCGAAATGTTTGTGCTATCAAAGAAGCATTTGCGACTTACTCTACTATTGGTCCCGAAGAAGAGATTTCCATGGGAAATAATGCAACAACCAAGATTGAAAGTTATGGGAAGATATTCCTGAAGATGACTTCAGGCAAGGTGTTAACGATCAACAACGTTCTCCATGTTCCTACAATTAGGAAGAATTTAGTTTTTACTTATTTACTTGTAAAGAATAGATTCACATGTGTATTTGTTTCTAATAAAGTTGTTGTAAGCAAAAATGAAATGTATGTTGGAAAAGGCTACCTTACAGAGGGCCTTTTCAAATTCAATGTAATGGTTGTTGACAGTATGAATAAAATTTCAGCTTCTTCTTATTTATTGGAGTCAAATGATTTATGGCATATTCGTTTTGGACATGTCAATTATAAAACCTTGTGGAAGTTAATTAATTTAGAAGTATTGCCTAAATTCGAGTGTAATAAATCAAAATGTCAAATATGTGTTGAATCTAAGTTTGTAAAACATCCTTATAATTCTGTTGAAAGGAATTCAAATCCTTTAGACTTAATTCATACTGACATTTGCGATATGAAGTTTACACCATCTCGGGGTGGGAAAAAGTATTTTATTACTTTTATTGATGATTGCACTCGATATTGTTATGTTTATTTGCTTAATAATAAGGATGAAGCAATTGAAACATTTACGCAATACAAGAATGAAGTAGAGAATCAATTGAATAAAAAGATCAAAATGATTAGAAGTGATAGAGGTGGAGAATATGAATCTCCGTTTGCAGAAATATGTTCGGAATATGGAATTATCCATCAAACTACTGCATCTTACACACCTCAATCCAACGGAATTGCGGAAAGGAAAAATCAGACATTAAAGGAAATGATGAATTCTTTATTAATAAGTCCGATTACCGCAGAGTTTGTGGGGGGAAGCTATCCTTACAGTTAAGCGAATACTCAACAGAGTACTCCACAGCAAAACGCAATCTATTCCATATGAAAAATGGAAAGAAAGAAAACCAACTTGAAATATTTCAAAGTGCGGGGGGTATTTAGCAAAAGTACAAGTTCCTTTACCTAAAAGGGTTAAAATCGGACGAAAAACAGTAGATTGAATTTTCATTGGATATGCTACAAATAGTAAAGCATGTCAGTTTTTGGTTCATAAATCCGATAATCCCAAGATTCATGTTAATACGGTAATGGAATCAGATAATGCTGAATTCTTTGAAAGCATCTATCCATATAAAACTGAATGCGAGTCATTAAGTGAAAGACCTAAACGAACTCGGGAAGAACCAAAGGAAAACACTCTAAGTATAGAAGATCCAAGGCGTAGCAAACATCAAAGAACATTTACTTCCTTTGGACCAGATTTTGTGACATTCTTGCTTGAAAATGAGCCTCAAACTTTTAAAGCAGCTATGTCGTCTTCTTATTCAGCGTTTTGGAAAGAGGCAGTCAATAGTTAGATTTAATCAATTTTGGATAACCATACATAGTAATTGATTAATCTTCCTCCGGGAAATAAGCCTTTAGGTTCAAAATGGATCTTTAAACGAAAAATTAAAGTTGATGGCACTATTGACAAATATAAGGCAAGACTTGTTGCCAAAGGTTATAGACAAAAGAAAGGCCTTGATTACTTTGACACTTACTCGCCAGTAACAAGGATAACATCTATTAGGGTGTTAATGGTACTAGCGGTCGTATATGGTCTTGAAATCCATCAAATGGATGTTAAAATAACTTTCTTAAATGGAGAATTGGAGGAAGAGATTTACATGGAACAACTTGAGGGTTTTGTGGTTCCTGGTAAAGAAAAGAAAGTGTGAAAACTTGTTAAGTCGCTTTATGGACTTAAACAAGCACCAAACAGTGGCATGCAAAATTTGACCAAACAATATTGGAAAATGGATTTAAAATCAACGAGTGTGACAAATGTGTTTACATTAAAAATACTCCAGGTCATAAAGTCATTGTTTGTATATGTTGATGACATGTTGATAATGAGCAAAAGTATGGCAGATATTAATGCTTCAAAGTGCATGTTGGCTAGCAAATTCGACATGAAAGACTTAGGAGTTGCTGATGTGATCTTAGGAATCAGAATTTACAAGACTCCACAAGGTCTAGCATTATCACAATCTCACTACATTGAAAAAGTATTTGACAAATTCAAGTATTTGGATTTCAAAATTGTCAAGACTCCAATTGACGTGAGTTATGTACTTCAAAAGAGTGAAGATGAAAATGACTCACAGCTGGACTATGCAAGAGTATTGGGAAGTTTGATGTATATCATGGATTGTACGCGACCAGATATAACATGTGCTATTAGCAAATTGAGTCGGTTTACAAGTAATCCCAATCAAATACATTGGATGGCAGTGAAACGAGTTTTGGGGTATCTGAAACATACCCAAAATTATGCTTTGCATTAGAACAAATATCATTCCGTGATCGAGGGATATAGTAATGTAAATCGGATCACCGGATCATCTGAAGTTAAATCCACGGGTGGATATATTTTCACAATTGGGGGTGGAGCAGTGTCTTAGAAATCATCCAAACAAACGTGCATCGCCCGTTCTACAATGGAATCTGAATTCATAGCTTTAGATGAGGATGGTGAAGAAGCTAAACAGCTTTGTAATTTCTTGGAAGATATTTATTTTGGCCCAAACCTTTGGCATCTATTTATATACATTGTGATAGTTAAGCGGCAATAGGTAGGACAGGGAGCGTTATGTATAAGGAAAAATCTTGTCATATACGATGGAGACACAATACCATTAAACAACTACTCTCTAGTGGTGTTATCACAATTGACTACGTAAAGTCAAGAGATAACGTGCCGGGTCCACTTACAAAAGGTCTCTCTAGAGAGTCAGCTGAAAGATCATCAAATGGAATAGGGTTAAGGCCTAGGACAAGTCATCATAGCGGTAAATCTAGTGTTTCTTTAGGATTACACGTTTAGGAATTACCTATGTGAGTGTGAAGTGTAAGACGCTTCAAGAGGAATGAAAGTAAAGGCCCATTCTCTAAGCACTCATGAAATCAGGCGATGTTCATGGCTTAAATGAACACAACCATGAGAACCATAGATGGTTAAGGATTGATTGTGTGAATTATGTTGTCTAGGTATACAACAAAGCTCGACGATTCAAAGACATCAAATCTACCTATTAACCGAGTATATCCAATATACGTTCACTACGAAAAGTTCAAAGAGAAACCTACTTATCCCGATACAATTAATTCTTGAATGTAAAACACACACACGTCCGTGTATTCCTTTAAGTTTATAGCCATTCCCCATTCATGTGGGGGATTGTTGGATTTTGTTATTAATAACAAAAGAGGTGTGAATGGAAAATGGTGGGAAAAGAAATAGAGGGAAGTGAAATTTTGAATGAGTTCACTTTACTAATGCACTTTGTCCCTTATTGGTAGAAGGAAAGAAAAACTTTGTGTATATATAGAGAAGCTCATCTTTTAGCTCTTAAAGAGTTAAGAAAAAGGCAAGCCTCGCGTCGTCGTCGTCGTCGTTCGGCTCGGTTCAGCTTCGGTTTCGGCTTTGGATTTGGTTTTGTTCAAAGATCGATTGATTGATTAATTTTTTTGGACAAAATTATTTTTAAATATTTAATTAATTAACAAAAACTCAATCCGGAATAACCCATGACCCGCGACCCGGTCCGGTCCGGTCCGTTTTCTTTCCCGGATTATTTTAAATCCGTTTGTTTTTCCCGCAATATTTCCCCACCTGTTTCAACAGTTGTGGTTGTTCTGAAAGGTTGCAAACCTTTTCAGAAACAATGCAAACCTGTTCCAACAGCTATAGCCGTTCTGGAAGGTTGTAAACCTTTTTAGAAACAGTGCCAAATGGGCTATAAATATTCCTTCAATCCCATAATTTTTATTCACGAAATTTTCTGATTTTCTTCTTCTTCTTCTTCTGAATTCTAGTGTGTTTTACAGCCTTCGAGTGGTTCGCTGTTCATCGGCTTTTTTGGTAACAATACTCCGGTGAGGTAAATCGTTCTACCCTGGGAGGATATATTCCAGAACCTCGGGTACTTGAGGAGAATAATTTCCTTAAGGACACACTGTGTATTCAGTGGGCTCGATTTATTCCTATGCTATTTTCAGAATTTATTTTGAAGTTCCTATACTATTTTCAGAATTTATTTTGACGTTCTAGTTCTACTAACTTTCTGTTTCTATTTTTTCAGAAAGTTTATTGTTTTATTAATTTTACAGCAATACAGTTTTGATAACAAATACAACGACAGGTATACCTTGAAGTTTTCGCAACTCACAATCAACTAACTAATGATTAACACGCTCCGAGGTACCTGGATCTACACAAAATGTACAACAAGCGTAGCATGAGTACATCATAGTAGTACCCAGTAAGTATCAATACTAACTTCGATGGAATAGTGATGAGGAACAGTTAAAACACCTATTAAACATAATAACCTGTACAAGTATGAATATAGAACTAACAAAGGACAATATAAAGCTACACATGGTAAAAATAGCATTGCAATACTTGCAAAAAGAACTAGAAACAATAATTAACAAGGAGCAAATATGTAATAACATCGTAAAATAAGCATAATACAGTTAAAGTCTTATGAAACCAAGTAAGAAAAAATAAGTAACAACCCAATAAGACAACCACTTTCACACAAGGTTTATATAAGAATTTTCGTGAGGTACATCCACCTTAAAATCATAATCATAGTAGGTAAAATGCTTCGATCTACGAGCACATTTAGCCATGGATTTTTTTATTTTTCGAAATATTTTTATTTTTTTCGAAATTAGTGTTTTGTGATAAAATTTTCAATTTTTATGTAAAAAATGGCAAAAAGCTTTTTTTTAAAAAAATTCACTCAGATCACTCACAATTCCAAAAATAACTTAAAATTAATTCATGTTCAAACACAACTTTATTTTTTAAATATTATTTTCACTTGAATTTTTTTTCTCTCGAAATTTTACAATTCTTATGGCCAAATGCCCATTACATCTCCTCCTTTTAATACTGTCAATCTTTGATTGTGAACCAATCACATTTAGATTGTCAAAGAAATTATAGTTTGTATCGAATGAACAACTTCTATTAATTAGAACAATTTTATATATCCCCTTTCTCTGGAGGCTTCGTCAATCGTTTTAAGGTGGAGCCACAATTTGAAGCTAATAATTTAAGATTTTAATATTTTTAAGTTATTAAATTTTAAATTAATAATTTATGCATTTTTAATTAATTTCTTAAATAAATATAGAGTTTGGACAAAAATTACTGAATACGGTCGAACATGTAACCAGGGGCAGATCTAGCGTGTAGTATACGGGTTCCCGGGAACCCAGTAACTTTTGCGTAGACCTTGTATGTTTGTTAAAATTTTTATTAAATATCTATAAATATCTACTTGTGAACCCAATTATTATTGTATATTAATTTGAAATTGCGACAGGAACCCATAAATTTAAAATCCTAGATCTGCCTCTGCACGTAACTGCCATGATAGCTCTGCCCTTGTGTCCGTTAGTACAAATAAGAACGAGGGATCAATAAGAATTATGATGGAGTGATAATTACTTTTTTTTTGGTTTCTCACCCGGTGTCCGGTACTCGCATTGGAGCCCGACTATATCCGAATTCACGCCATATAGGGCCCCATTCGGGGGAAACGCTCCCTACCAAGGATTTTTCCATACTCAGGGCTCGAAAGTCGAACCCAAAATATCTGGTTAAGGAACGAGAGATCA